GAAAAACTCCACCCGCGCATCTAACCCTTCGGGGCGGGGCGCGCAAAAAGGAGGTGTGACAACAATTATAACGGTTCCCTTACTTAATTGGGGCTCACTAATGGTATTAATTGTATTGATTGTCCGTTACCATATACAGTCGTAGCGGAAACATTTATGATTAAATATTTCTTGTAACTACACCGATTTTCCTTCCTTATTTATGACAGGTTCGCGTATCTTCCCTTCTTCACAGCCTTTATTCATTTCGTTCCTATTTCTCCTTTTACAACTGTCAGGTCCGATTTTTTCCTCTATGTAATCCCGTGGATATTTCTCCCGTGCCTTTTCGCATTCTTTAACTTGTCTAATTAAGAACACTACTTGTCATTACATCGATGTTCCACGTACCATATCCTGTCAACTTGTTGATAGTCCACATGTCATGTCTTTTTTCCACCAATACACTAGAATGTTTCGGTATTTACCCTATCCGCATCCACTAAATATTGTAGCAGAAAAGATGAGAAGTCGCAAATAAGTTAAATGGCGACAAGAATATTTAGGAGTGTTTTTTTTTTGGTTTTGGTTATATACATTTTATATATTGGTTGGATACAATGACGGTACTGTACGTTCTAAGTTTCTAACAACAAAAATGCAGCGAACTGGGAGCTTATATCCTAGAAAATGATATTAACTACTATTACAAATTGGAATTAGAACTTAAACTCAATATTATATTAAGCTAGCGTTAAGTCATATATTTGGTTGAAACTTGAAAAAAGAGTTTTTGAATTTATGCTGAAAAATAATTTTTAAAAATTAAAGTTGTGTTTGAATATACATTTTATTTGAAAAAAAAAACTTGAAATTTTGTGAGTGAAAAAAATTATTATACCCAAAAATTATCCTAAAATAATTTTTGGGAACTTGAATTTTTTTTTAAAAAAAAATAATCATATTTTATAAACAAATAATATTTTTAAATTTTTTTTTTGAAAAGAATCAGCCAAAATCTATGGCCAAATGAGAGTTAGACTCAATGCATATCTTTTCGCGATGAATAAATTAATACTTCAATATTTGGGTCAACATCATCCCATTGGTCAACTTCAGGTAATAATTAATTAAGTGATCGAGCTGTTTGCTTTTTTAAAAAGAAAGTAAAATATACCATAAGTAAAATCGTAAGAGCAAATGTAAATTACAATATCCCTTTTCATAAATTAATTAGGTAATAACAAGATACGTGGCGTAATATGGACCGGTCTTAAGTACATAACAGTAAACGTGGCATAATATGGAGCGATAGTCTAAGAAGGACGACGAACAGCGTTTATGTAATCTTCAAGTGCTTGAATTTGCTCTTCAGACGGTGGTGTTTCGTTGTTCTTTATGGATCTGTGCACGTCATATGTTGTTGAGGCCAAGAACAATACCCTGTTTTTCATTTGCCACAAAAACAAACAGAAATGACAAATGAATGATAGTTTTACACATATCATTATTTTACATATATTTAGAAAGAGCAAGAATTGCATACCCAGAAGAGAAGAGTATAATTTGTCTTGGAAATATGTGCTTCCCAAAAATCCTCATCTCTTTTCCTCTTTGTCTTTGCACAACCTTTGAGAATTTCCTTCTTTTTTTTATGGAACTTCTTTTCTTCGTATTTATGGAAATTATGTTTATATTAAAAGGAAATGAAACAGGCAATGAATTTTGTTGTTTTAATTTCAGTTATGGGCTATTTTCCGCCCGAAAGAGGTCCAGTTGACCTTCATCTATGAGATCTTTACCTATATAGTCGGTCATATACATTAATTATACATATATATTATGCTTTTTCTTCATCTAGCCGTCGGCACAATTTTATACCGGTTGTCGGGTGTCTGAATTTGAATTATTTTGTAAATAGGGATCCCAAAAATGGCTACTTGTGCACTTCCCCAAGTATATGGACCTTTACGTAAATAGTTGGTCATATACATTATTTACTTTTTTAGTTATATACATAATTTATATATTGGTTATACATAATTATACATATATAATACGTAAATTATATATATATATATATATATATATACATATATATTATACCATCACCGGCTATTTTTAAATTTAAACTATTAAGTTGACGGCTATTTGAAGTAATTCTTTTGGCCTCTAAAGGGTGGTTATGTAATGGACCTAAAAGTCCAAAGGACAATAAGGGAATATGGGTGGGCTTTCTAAAAGGGAAACTTTATACTATCTTAAACTTGGGGAACAGGGGAAGTGCACAAGTAGCGATTTTTGGGACCCCTTTTTTTTAGCCATATACATAATTTTTACTTCGCTTATATATAATTGTACATATATAATAATAAATTATATATATTATAACTAATTGTTTAAATTAAAAATAATTGGTGAAAGTATAATATATACATAATTTACGTATTATATATATATATATATATATAATTATATATAATCAATGTATAAATTATGTATATGGCTAAAAAGGTAAATAATGTATATGACCGGCTATCTGTGTAAAGATCCCTAAACTTCGGGAAGTACACAAGTAGCTATTTTTGGGATCCCTATTTATAAAATAATTCAAATTTACAGGTCTTAAGTTAGAATATAATTCAAATTCAGACACCGGACAACCGATATAAAATTGTGCCGAAGGCTGGATGAAGAAAAAGCAACACCATTAATCAATAATAGCATGAGCGGCTTGAAATTTTCTGAAACTAGTTAAATTTTAAATATTTTTTAAAAACTAAAATATATTTTAAACGAAAAAGGATAGAAAATGCCCTTATCGTATTACATAAAAATGCCCTCCTTCTGCCTGTTGGATTAAAAATACCCTTAAATAGATGTCATTATTTAGGGTTACAAATGTCCCTCCTTTTAACAGAATCATAACATGGCATTATTGAGTCTTTAATTAAACATATGGCCTTAAATTATTGGTGTCGACCCACCCTTGACTTGACTGAACCCAACTTCCAACTTCCTTTTTTAAGTATCCCAACTCATTCTTCTTCTTCCACCGCTAGAGATTGAATAGGGGTACCTTTGTCAGAGTAGAATAAGACATTTGTTTTCCAGATTGCTTCGATTTTTCTAAGGGGAAAGTTCTTTCGATAGGCTCTAGGAGAGAGTTCCTTCGATGGGTTCTAGGAGAGTGTTCCTGACTTACCTCTCTTCTACTGATTTTTCATTTTTATCTTGTTGGCAATCTAGTAAGTTTCAAGATGTAATTCCCAGAAGCATTTTTCCTAATTATCAATAGAAAAAAATGAATTGAAAAAAAAAACCCAAATAGAAGAAGATCGAACAAAGAAGAGGTCGAGAGAAACGTTAATTTGGAAACAGTAGTAGTATCGAATTCGGCCATTGATGCAACTTCGAGAAAATGGTCGGTGGAGGAAAATACAAAGAGTTTGATTTTCATCTACGATCCTTATCTTCCAGTGGTAGAGACTTCAATTTCGCCTACCACCCTGCCTCCGATCCTTCTCTCCTCCGCTAGCTATAACCCCCCAGTAGCTATAAGTATACTTCTGGCCTTGGGAATTTCTCTTATGTTTCCAACATGATTCCTAGGAGCGATTTTTGAAAAGAGAGAAAACTGAGATGAAATTAGTTCTTGTTATGAAATAAAAACAATTTAGTAAAACATGAACAAGAAATAAAAGCAATTTAGTAAAACATGAACAAGAAATAGAGATAGAGAGAAGGAAGAGATTTTCTTCTTCAACTATGTGTATTTTCCTATCTATTACAAGGCTTTTATATAGGCATGAAAAGTGAAGAAAATATGTCATGAAGTATGTCATTGAACATAGAAAATATGTCATTAAATATGTCATTAACCATTTGAGAGAAAGATCATGGAGGAAGAGTAGACATCCATCATATTTTGATTTTTATCATAACACTCCCCCTTGGATGTCGATAAATAATGTGTCTCGTTAAAACCTTATTAGGAAAAAACCCTATGGGAAAATATCCTAATGAAGAAAAAAGAGTACACATATTTAGAAATACGCTTTTTGGTTACCTCGTTAAAAACCTTGCAGGGAAAACCCAATGGGACAAAACCTTGTAAGGAAAAAAGAGTACAACACGTATTAACTCCCCCTGATGAGATCATTAGTTCACGCCGTTAAGCCTTCGTATCCCAATCTTGTACACTAGTTTCTTGAAGGTTGACGCATATAGATATTTGGTGAACAAATCAGTCATATTATCACTTGAACGGATCTGTTGCACATTAATATCACCATTCTTTTGAATATCATGTGTGAACAATAATTTAGGTGAAATGTGTTTTGTCCTAACTCCCTTTAATTGGGCTATGCATGTTGTATTTTCTTCATACAAAACTTTGGGTAGTTTATCACACTTCAAACCACATTTGTCTCGAATAAGATGTATAGTAGACCTCAACCATACACATTCTCGACTTGCTTCATGAATAGCTATTATCTCAGCATGATTAAAAGAAGTAGCCACAATTGATTGCTTAGTCGATCGCCAAGATATGACAGTGCCACACATGTAAACACATAACAAGTTTGAGATCACGCCTTGTGTGTGTCAGATAAATACCCCACATCAACATAACCAATAAGATCGGTATTGCAATCATTGCCATAAAATAAGCCCACACCGGTAATCCCCCTTAGATAACACAATATGTGCTTGATTTCATTTCAATTTCTCCTTAAACGGAGCTATATCTTGCTAAGACATTAACTGAAAAAGTTATGTCATGCCTTGTAGTGTTAGCAAGATATATTAGCGCACCAATTGCATTAAGATATGGTACTTTAGGACCAAGAAGCTCTTCATTATTTTCATGAGGTCAGAGTGGATCTTTATTTATATCGAGTAATCTCACAACCATCGGGGTACTTAATGGATGTGTTTTATCCACATAGAAGCTCTTTAAAATCTTTTTAGTGTATGCTGATTGAAGGACAAAAATTCCATCTTTCATATATTCAATTTGTAGACCAAGACAAAATTTTGTCTTTCCAAGATCTTTCATTTCAAATTCTTTAAACAGTCTACTGCTTTAGGAAGCTCTCCGGGAGTTCTAATGATATTTGAATCATCAACATACATGGCGATTATAACAAATTCAAATCCATATCCTTTTATAAGGACACAAGGACAAATTGAATTATTCTTATACCCTTCTTTTAACAAGTATTCTCTCGGGAGATTATACCACATGGGCCCTGATTGTTTCAATATGTATAAGGATTTTTGAAGCTTTATTTAATAAATTTCTTGGAAACCTTAATATGCTCCAAGACAATTTAAATCTTTCAATGATATCTACTATACGCATATCAAGTTTTTCATATATTGCCAGATTAAAACCTGAAGTGACTATATCCACTATAAGAGAACATGTCTCCATATAATCAATGTGAGGATATTTACTAATTTTCTTGTGCCACAAGTCGTCTTTATGTCTATCGACTTGAACCTTTCGCACAAGAACACATTTATACCTCAATTGACCTTATACTTTCAGGTGTTGGACTATCCGTACAACTTCACATTTTTCAAGTGAAGTCAATTTCATTACGTATTTTTTATTTGGCCAATCTTTTATCCGTCCAAATTTCATGACAGATTTGATCTCAAGATCCTCGTCAATATTAATCATATTGAGCGCTACATTATATTAACAATATCGTCGACAATCATTTTATGTCGGTTTCATTATTACCTAATAAATACATAACTTATTGAGATCTCTTTATTTTATTATTTTCAGGTACCTGAGCCTCTCCCATGAGGTCTTATGAAGTGTTATGTCGTGGTGCTCTTCTAGGGCACTTGCCTCCTTATTATGACCATTTTGAATATTTGCCCCTCTCCTTCTTCAAGGAGTTTTATCTTTGGAACCGATTGGTCTGTTACACTTCATGCGTGCCATAGACTCTGTCCCTCATGGACTTTATTCTATTTGGAGCATTAGCAGCTGAAATATGACATTTAGCTTTGGGTCAACAAATGCGTCTGGCAATAATTTGTAAATGAATTATCACTTGAACTTCAAGTTTATATTTTCTTGTACGAGGATCTATATGTATTCATAATAATTCATTTCACGTATCACTTTCTCAGCTGCCCAATTTCTCCCCCCTAATGTTGGGATCGCCAACACATTTCCCAACCATCTTTGGGAACTCATCTTTATGCATTTTGGTGGCATAATTAAATCATATAACACATCCATATTTCTGTATAGAAATTATTTGGTTCCTGAACCGATTGTGATAGGGAGAAATTTTTATAACTTGGCTAGATGCGTACAAGTGTTGCTG